TCTGAAATCAGGAGCAAAATCAGCTTGGACAAGACGCTTACTGCTTTTGTAATAGCCCTCCCTGGAGAACTCAAGGGGTCCCATGAGAACTGTCATCTGAGATTATACCCCTAATGACTTCCTAACTAGGCCTCATCTCTTAAAGATTCTACCACCTCCCAGTGCCACCACCCTGAGGACCATGCCTTCAGTCACGGCGGGGAGAGGGAATATCGTTAACCATATCCAAGCCATAGCAGTTGGTAATTTGTTTTCTATCACCAATCTTCATCGCTCCTCTCTGTCATTTTTCACATATGCGCCATCTTTCCTGTTCCTATTTTAATTTAGGTTAATGCCTTTTGTTGCTTGCACTGTTGCAATAATCTCACATTAGGCTTCTTGTTTGTAGTTTTCCCCTGTGTCCCATTCACCTTATTACAAGTGAAAAGAGTATCTCTGTTTTCTTTTTTATTATGATTTTTAATGTGTATCAATTGTATAGATCAGTGGGTTTCACCGTCACATTTTGCAATACATGTACCATGCATTAGTTGTGTCTACCTCCCATCTATCCTATCTCATCCTTCCCTTTCTTTCCCCTTTCCTCAGCCCTAATAGTCCCTCTTTTAGTTTTCTAAAGTGCAAATATAATTAAATCTTTTCCAGTTTAAAACCTCTTTTTTTTTTTTTTTGGGCACAGTACTGGGGATTAAATCCGGGGCCTTGTGAATGCTAGGCAAGCCTGTACCACTTGAGCTGTTCCCCCATTCCTCCAGTTTAAAACTCTTTAATGCTTTCCTGTGCCTTTGGAACTCCTTCATATGCTGTGCAAGGCTCTTAATGACAAGGTATCTATTTGTCTCCATAGACTTCTGGTTTTCGGGCATTTACTTTTTCCTTTTTGTCTCTCCCTGCAAGCCACAGGGAAGTATACTTTATTGCCTTTGGAGACGTATTCTGATTTGTCATTATACATCTTAAGTGTGCATGTAGCATGTCAGATGCTACATGATCAATATTAAGTGACAAAAAATCGTCCTTTAACTTCTCCCTTATTGGTATTATAGTTAATATCTGATTGTATGTTCTCGATCTTTATAAATATTTATTTGACATAATTCCTTTTATTCAATGGATATGTACATTCACAATGCTATCTTACCCCACCTCAAAGAACATTTTAAGCCCAGTTTTCAGTTTATTGCTGTTTCAGATCATCTCAGGCAATGGGAGTGCATCTATTTGTAGTCACCAAATGCATTTGAGGTGGCTCCTTGATCTCTCCTCCCAGCACTAGTGTTACTGATGGTATTGACCAGTCACCCAGATAACTAGATGGTGTATATTTCTTGTATTTGAAGCCCTTTTCATAATTTGTGAAATCAAGAAACTTTCCTCTGGCACTAGCCAGCCAGTTTGGAGGTAAAGCAGTTGTTGCTTTTCCTGTCAGCTCTTCACTCCTCACTCCCAGAAGACTCAGGATGTCCCACATTATTTTGAAAAGCCTAAACACTTCAAACTCTTATTCTCCTGTTAGGCTTGAAAGGGGGACATTATTAGCTCTGTCTGATGTAGCAGGGGCTCTGAACGTCTATTTGGATAACACTGAAGATTGGAGGAAATGTGACTCTGTCTGTGTGTTTTAAGCCCCTAAGGTAAGATCAGAAAGCGTCTGGGGCAGTGAGAGCCAAATAGCTGAAGTCATACATTAATTATGGTCATGAATCATTTTTATTTTTAAAGTCTTTACCATTTGACAAGGTTGTTTGCATAGTACCAGTGAGGTTTTATGCAGCCCTGTCTCCCTTTTAAAGCAACAGACTGTTTTGTTGATTTCTCTTCTGGATTGATAATACCCATCATTTTTAGTAAAAATTGACTATTTCCCTGACTGAATGAGTGAGTGGTCGTTATTTTATGTGATTTGTGTTTTGATATAATGTTAGAAGTTATAAATGTAGGAAACTATCACACTGACCTTTTAGTTACTCTCCCACTGTAATCAAAATGTCAAATCTTAGGACCATGCTTTTGAATTTAAACATAGGTGTTAAGCCAGCAAATATAGTTGAGTGCCTCCTTTGTGCAGCATTCTGTGCTTAGCATTTAGGATATGTATAAAAAGATGAGTATTTCCCTTCAGAAACACCTACTGAGGAAATGAGGTTCTACAGTAGTATTTGTTGTGTTGTCATATACAAGATGTCATGTGTATCTCCAGAGGAGGAAGCTGTCTGGCATGGTCAGGAAAGGCCTGTAAAGAAGAGGGTATGCTTGAGTTGCCTCTTAATGGATTAGGAATTTTCTTACTTGCTAAGAGATAGAGGGAACTTGTAGATAGGTGCACAGCTTGTATAAAGGTACAGAAGCAAGAAATGGCATGATATGTTTGGAGAATTGCCAGTAGTTTGACACTATAGGAGTTGAGGGTGTAAGGTAAGGAGTATCAAGAAAGGAGGCTGGAGATATAGGCAGGGACCCCCTCACATTACACAGGACCCTCCCTTGGAAGATTTCTTTAGAGATCCTTTGTAGGAGAGTACTACTGTCGATGTAGATGAAGCACACATACACACTCACAACAAGGGGCAGTAGGATAGAGGAGTATGGAATATAAGCTCCTCTGTTGGATTCCTTAAGGAGTTGTTTAATTATTTCATGAGCAAAGTAGCTATGAGACCTGGCCTCTTTCAGATGACCCAAGAAATCCTCAGTTTCTAAAAATGTAGAATATGTCATGAATGTTTTTAGTGTGTAGTATCATAATAATAATGTTGTCAGAGGTATTAATGCCATCAAATCCTTAATAAATGAACCTCCCATATCTATGACCTTCAGTTCAGGTTTTTAAAAATCAAGGTAAAATTTACATACAGTGAAAGACATAGGTCAAAACTCTGTGAGTTTTGGTATAGTTCTCATCCTAGTCAATATATAGGTCATTTTCATCCCCTCAGCTAGTCTCTTTGTTCCCTATCAGTCAGTCCTCATCCCACAGAGGCAACTAGTCACTCTTGATTTATCACTTTTTTATATAAAGGGAAGCATATAGTATTGGTCAAGATGGGGTATTGCAAAGGGTTTTTTTTTTCTTTTTTTTCCTGGGCTGGCCTGGACTGTGATCCTCCTACTTATGCTTTCCCTGTAGCTGGGACGACAGGTACATGCCACCACTCCCAGCTGCTGGTTGAGATTGGGTCTTGAGATTTATTTATTTATTTACTCAGTCATTCAGTCCTGGCTGTCCTCAAACTGCAATCCTCCAGTCTCTCTGCTGAATAGCTAGGATTTACAGGTGTGAGATACCATACCCGACCATTTTTAATTAGATTATCTTTTTCTTACTGATTTTATATCCTCCAGACACAGTCCTTTGTCAGATAGATGTTTTACAAATGTTTTCTCCCAGTCTCTCAACTGTTTTTTCCTTTTGAAAATTGTATCCTTCGATGAAGAGCTATTTCTAACTTGGGTAAACTTTTAATGTGTCCATTTTTAATTTTATGATTTTTTTTGTTCTGTCTAATGAATCTTTGCCTACCCCAAGGTTGCAAGAGATTCTCACATTTTCTGCTAGAGGTTTTATGATTTTAGCTTTTGTGTTTACTATGATCCTCTTTAAATTAATTTTTTTGCGTGCTGTGGTGTATATGATGAGATTAACTTTTTTCTTTGTTTATTCAATATTCCCATACCTTTGCTTAAATTTGTTTCTTCATTGATTTGCATTGATTCCTTTGTTAAAGATCAGTTTGTCATGTATGTGTAAGTCTGTTAAATATTCTTCATTCTAGCAATCTACCTATTCATCTATTCTTTCTGTCTGTCTGTCTGTCTATCTATGGAGTCTTACCCATGCTGGTCACAAAGTCCTGGGTTCAAGTGACCCTCCTGCCTCAGCCTCCCAAGTAGCTGAGGCTACAGGTGTGCGTGGCCTTCGATCTGGTTTTTTGACCCTATACTAGTATTATATTGATTATGTAACTTTATAGAATATAGCCTTTTAAAGATTGGTTTGTTACTTCTAGGTTCTTATACTTTATATGCAAGTTATAGCATCAAAATTTTGATTTCTACAAAAAACAAAGCCTGTTTTAAGACTTGACCTATTTAAGAAAACCTGACATCTTAACAATGTTGAACCTTCTAGTCCATGTACATATATTTTCCCATTTCTTTATCTTTCTCTAACGTGTTTCAGAGTGCTGTCAACTTTGAGTCAAGCTTCTTAACTGGAATGTTGTGGATTCTTGGATTTCTTCCTTTGTCCCCTGCCCCACCTTTTTGTTGATACTGGGGGTTGAACTCAGGGCCTCACTTTTGCTGAACAGGCATCTTACCACTTGAGCCATGCCCTCAGCCCTGTTTGCTTTAGTTATTTTTGGGATAGGATCTTGTGCTTTTGCCCAGGCTGGCCTGGATCATGATTCTCCCATTTATTGCTTCTCATGTAGCTGAGATGACAGGTGTGCATCACCACACTTAGCTTTTATTGGCTTAGATGGGTTCCCACTAACTTTTCCCCCAGGTTGTCAAACCATGATCCTCCTGATCTCCACTTTCCAAATAGCTGGGATTACAGGTGTGAGCTGCCATGTACAGCCTGACTCTTTTCTCTTTGTAGATACCCATAAATAATAGTCAGTTTTGGGTGTTACTTGAGTTGTACTCTATTGGTGACTTCAGCAATCCAACTAATTTCTCTGTATTTCAGTTTCTATATCTGTACAATGATAGGATTTAGCCAGATTGTTTTCTAAGGGCTCTCCCAAACTCCTGTGAGTCCTTCATGCTAGCTGTCAATGTATCAGAGACAGGCAGACAGGTGTTTTATAACATTATTGTTTTAGGATTTATTGTAGTCTGTGTTGTTTCATTGTAAATATGAATTGAGAAACAATCACTTTGGGCTCAGTATTAACTCTCTTTACCCTGGAAGGTTTATCATTCATATCTGTGGCTCTGTTTTAGAGTTTATAATGAACTCACTTCAATTTTTCTACAACTTGTATTTCTAGGCTTCATAGAGCCCAGTGTGCAATTAAACAGACTCAGGTAACTGTTCAGAAAATTGGAAAGGAAATTGAAGAAAAGCTAAGACTCACATCTACAAGCAATGAACTGGTAGGTTTTTATGTATTTGCCTTTTTAAACTTGTATTCTAAAGGGAATTACATTTTTCAATTAATTCTTTTTTTCCAGCAATCTTTAGGTAGTTATGATTATTTTTCCTTAATAATGTCTCACTGAGATGTTGGCTGGCATATTTTAAACATTAGAAATAAACTTTCCCATCTGCTAAAAATGTAATAAATAAAGTGCCCGCCTTATTCTGTTAGGTGAAACTTTAGGTTACATACAATTACTTAGAAGATGACTAATAGGCTATTTTATTAATGTCTTATAAATGTGAACTTATAAATATGTGAATGTATAGTGAATGAAAAATAGCTGCCCAAATGAAAAAATAAACTATAGGGACTAATCTACTTTTAAAAGATGAATTTAAAAATTATGATAGCATAATAGACTTTTGGGGAAGCACTCTTTTAGTAAGTTATTGCCAAAGGTATAGAAATCCAAATGCAAATGAACAGATTTAAGATATTAATATAACTTTGGGTGGCTTTATACTCAAGGTTCCTAGTAGAGGAAAAAATTGTCAGCTTTAAAGCGGAAATTTTTGTCTTGGCAAACAAAGTATGACTAATAATTAAGCTTTTTTTAAAAAAATGTAGTCATAAGGCTCTGAATAGCATTTGTGCTATGGATTATGACACTTAAAATTCACATCTTCAAATTAAATTCAATTGATACTTCAGGTAAGTATTTGCTAGGAGGAACTAACTGTTACAGCTGGGGAGCATCTTGCAATTGTCATTTGCGCCATTATCAGTTTGGCAAAAGACTTATATCCTCAACTAAAGCTTCTGGGTATGTTGAAGATTTGCCCAACAGAATAGTATAAAATAAGAATGGTAGAAAAATAGCAATGCATCTAATCTGCAGACTTCTCTCATGGAATTTGGAATTAGTATATATTAGTTCAAATTGTATAAAATTGCTGACTTTGAACTCTAAAGGCAGTTTTATATAATACAGCCTTATCTATAAAGCAGCTGATGCTGCACCTGGCTCTTACCAGGTGTACACTGATAGCTACAATAGCAATAGTGTAACTCTTTTATTCATATGGTTTCCCTTGTCGATGGAAAGTCTTCCATCCAGAGTTACTGTTAAACTACCTTTACTGTGACTTAGGACCAATAAAGGAACAAATTCCAGGCCATAAATATATTGGAGGGGGATAAAAAAAAAAGCTAATTTTAATCCTTTCTGTAGTGCACAAAATGGTGCATTTTGAGAACCTTTGTCTGGGGAGATATTGCTAGATTTTATTTTTCTTATTTTCCTATCCCAAGGCAAGACTGGGAAATTACTTGCTTCATTAAGTGACAGCATATGCTTTGTCTCAGTATGAAAAAATGTATGTTTAATCCTGTTTTTCTAAAATTTAAGTGGTGACACACAGAGTAAGGTGATAGAATGTATGAATTTAAAGAGGTCAGGTTCACAGGTTCACATATGTTTTTATGCTGCCTTGTCAACATAGAAGGAAGTCATTGGATTTTTGAACTGAAAGTGAACCTAGAAATCATCTAATTCCCTAATAACCCCACTGAAAATCACACCTCCTAGTCCATTCTGTCCCCACTTCTGCATTATTTTTCTCCATCTAACATGATACACATTTCATGTATTTTTCTGTCTCTAAACTTTTACTGGAGGGGTCTCTCTTCTCAGTGAGAAGGCATATTTGACATTGAAATAAATCAGATTACCTTCTAAGACCACTTCTTAATTAGTTCTCAGTAATTAACCCTACTATAAAAAATTCAGTTTATACTTAAGGACTTGCAAAGATTTGGCATCTTCTCACATTACATCAATGCCCAGCATTTTCTTTGGCATTTAACTATGTTTTTTTGAAATTTCTGTTGCCATCATCTTGAATTTGCTGGCATAATTACATGCTTTTTCTCTTTTGTTTTTCTAGTATTGTGGTGAAATACATAGGTCAGTATTGGAATGTTAAGCCAACTTTGCATTTCTGAGGAAAGCCTCTTGTTCATGATAAATTATTCTTTATGTATGGATAGATAGGTAGATAGAACTGGATTCAATTTGTTAAAAATTAAAAGAATATTTTTGCGTATATATATTGAAGAAGAATATTGACCCGTAGTTTTGTTTCCTTATAATCTGTTCATCTGGTTTTGTTGTCAGGGTAATGTTGACCTAATTTGCTGTTGGAAAGTGTTTCCTCCATTTCTTTTTTTATATAGTAACATAGAGAATTGGAATCGTTTCATAAGTGTTTGATAGGTATTCACCATTGAGACCATCTGGACTGGAGTTTCTTTGTGGGACGGTTTTGAGCTACAGATTCATTTTCTTTAACAGTTACAGGATTATTCAAGGTTTTCCTTTTTTTCTTTCTCTCTCTCTCTCTTTTTTTTGGTGGTACTGGAGTTTCGACTCACCATCACACTGGCTAGACAGGCACTCTACCCCCCAACCTACCCCTCAGCCCTTTTTTGCTTTAGTTATTTTTGAGGAAGGGTCTCACGTTTTTGCCTGGAGTTGGCCTTCAACCACAATTCTCCTAATTATGCCTCCTGGGTAGCTGGGATTACAGGCACTTGGCACCATACCTGGTGTGAATTGAGATGAGGTTTTGCTAACTTCTTGCCCCAGATGCCTCCAACTTCAATCTTGCTGAGCTGCAGCTCCCAATTAGATGGAATTACATTCATGTGGCACTAGGCCCAACAGGCTATTCAAGTTACCTACTTCCTGAATATGGTAGCTGTGTCTTTCAAGAATGTGTCCATTTCATTGGAGAGGTGAGAGCTTTTAATTTTAGACATTGAAACGGTTACATCGTGTAAGGTTGCCTTTCTATCATGAACATTTTTCATGTCCAGTTGGTTACTTGTGTATCTTCTAAGAAGTGTCAGTTCTGATACTTTCGTCTAGGAAAACATAAATTATGTTTTATATGAGAGTTGTCCTATCCCTTTGGTCCAGTTTTCCCTAATGTTAATGTCTTACTGTGTGTGCACAGGTGGCACATAGTACCTAGTCAAAATTCAGATATTAACATTGATACATTACTATCAACTATTGAATCTATTCAGGTTTTGCCACTAATGTCTTTTTTCAAAATAATTGTACTTTTTATTTTATAACAGTTTTGTTTACATGGATTTAGCACAAAAATAGTGCAGGAACTTGCCTCATGTCCTCTATACCCAGTTTCTTGTTAATATCTTACCTTAGTATGTTAAATTTGTTACCGTCAGTGACACTGTATTAATAAATTACCCTTAACAACAGTACATGCTTCATTCAGATTTCCTTAGTGTTTATCTAATGTCCTCTCTCTAGCTCAGAACCCTATCAGGAACCCTGTGGATTTCTTGTAAACAACCACATCTGCAACCATAGCTGCAAATTTGGACATTTTATGCCTACTTCTGCCTATTTCAATAACCAGGACATCAGTACAGTGAAACTGATAAAAACGGGAATCCTAGCTGGGCATGGTGGTTCACTCCTGTAATCCCAGCTACCCAGGGTGAGCCATAAGTTTCTAGGTCTGGTCTAGGCCAGGCTGGGCAAAAAACGTCAGACCCTATCCCCCCAAAAAAAGAGGCCAACAGTGTGACTTAAGCGTTAAAAGCATGAGGCCCTGAGTTCAAGCTCCAGGACCTCCTAATTAAATAAATAATAAATAAGGGAATCCTTGCCTTCTTTCTGGTTTTAGGGAGAAATAATCCATTTTTTCCCTCTTAAATATGATATTAGCAATGCCCTTTATTGGTTTAAGAAGTTCCCTTTTATTCTAGTCTCTGAGAGTTTTTATCATGAATTAATGCTGAATTTTCTCATGATTTTTCTGCATCTATTGAAGCAATCATATTTTTTTTCTTTATTCATTTAATAAAGCAAGCTACACTGCTTTAGTTTCAAATATATTAATATTATATTTCTAGGGCTGGTAGAATGCTAGAGCGCCTACCTAGCAAACGTGAGGCCCTGAGTTGAAACCCCAGTGTCACCAAAAAAAAAAAGAGGGCTAGTATTACTTTTCTAGAATAAACCTGAATTGATTATAATATATAATTTTTATTTGTTTGTGGTAATGGGTCTTGAACTCAGGGCTTACCCCTTGAGCTACTCCACCAGCCCTTTTTTGTGAAGGGTTTTTTTTTTTTAGATAGGGTCTCACAAACTATTTGTCCAGGCTGGCTTCAAACCACAATCCTCCTGATCTCTGCCTCCTGAGTAGCTAGGATTACAGGCGGGACCCACCAGTGCCCGGCTATCATATATAATCTTTCTGTATCATGTTGGATTAGATCTGGTAATAAGGCTTTTTGCATCTATAGTTATTAGGGATATTGGGAAGTAGAACTTTAAATTATTTTACTAGATTTTGATACTAAGGTTATAGTAGCTGGGCAAAATTAGTTGGGCTTTCTTCCTTTTTCCTACTCTCATCTTGTGTTATAGCAGCAGTCCCCTGGGTCTGCTAAATGTTTTCTAGTTTTCTGCTAATACCTCATTTTTTAAATTTATTTTGAGAATATTTTACTCTTCATTACTTAAGCATATTTGTGAGTGGCTTTAAAGTTTTTAATCTGATAATTACAACATCTGAGTTGTCTTGGGGTTGGCCTGGGCTAATTGGCTTCTCCCTGAAGAGCAAGTCATATTCTCCTGACACACTGAGTAATAGTGAATAGTATTCTGACCTGGTGAATGTAGCTTGATAGATAGACCCTCTAGCCTGTGTTGCTTTGCTCTGAGGAGTGCTTTTGTTTCAGCAGGTAATTGATGTGGTCAGGCTCTAACTGTCATGCCTCCAGTGGGCACTGGCTCAGATTCTCCTTTCATTCTTTTACTCTTAGGCTTAGGCAGCTTTCTGTTCACATCCTGCATGCGTGGGTGGTAAGCCCCTCTCAAAGTTCAGAACAAGAGGTCTATTGAGTTGAAACTCAATTTGGGGTGCCCATTCTCACTTTCTTCATTCTGCCTCCTTGATTGTATTGCCTTTT